ACAGCATTCCAGCCGAAGCTATGGCTCCGGTCTGTGAACTAATTAAAGATTTGGAAAAACAGGGAATCTTAATTTGTACCTACTCCCCGTATAATTTGCTCAGGAAGCATGCTCGATGGGAATGAGCCCCCCCTCTCATGAGGAAGCTCTGAGACAGCTGATAACAAGATATGCACTTATCAGTCTATGGGTCCGATTCACCCGAATGCCCCATTTCATTTGTACCTCACTGTGGGAAACACAGGGATGTTCTATGCTTTATGGCAAGAAGGAGAAGCGGTACCCTGCCATCCCATACAGTTTGGCTCAAAGTTATGGCAGGGGTCACAGTCAAATTACTTGCCTTATAAAAAGTGCTTCTGGCAGCCTACACAGCACTAAAGGAAACAGAGGAGCTAACCCAAGCTCAAGCCATAACACTTCACACTCCTCTCCCAATCATTAAGCCCATATTAGAGGGAAAGGAGTTGCCACCAGGAATAGCCCAAAAGAAAATGACTGTCCAAAGATGAGTACTCTATTTACACCACAGACTCTGCTGCAGCATAGATGTTATGAAAACCCTGTACTGTGAAGTTTAAAATTAGTAATAGCTGACTGCAATAATACACAGTCATATTTATCTATTAAAAGGAATCAGAAGGTGTGAGGGACTAATCATTAAGCCCACCCTCCTTACCAAATTAATACTGAACAAACCTGTGTCATTGGGAAAAGTCATTTAGCAGAAATCAGGTTGTATCTTAAGAGGAAAAAGCATGTGAAAGTAAAAGGTGGACTCCGTGGGAGTGTGGAAGGAATTAAGCGATTGTTGTAATATGTGAAGAGAAACCTGCTTTAAAAATGACACCTCGTTTCTTTGCAGTCTCTTTCTTAAGCACCATCTAGGCAAAGAAACAATCAAACGTAAACATTTGTCTACAGACACTTTTGTTAAATCTGCAAGAAAAATTAGGGATTATACTGAAACTTAATTGGTTAACTGCATAAAAGAATGAGCTCTATATATTGTAACTTTATTTTGTGGGTTTCAAATGAACTAGTTTTATTTTGTTTTGGACAATGTCCTCTTGCTTAAAATTGCAAACAGACAATGCACAAATTGGTTAGTGCTTCTGTTAAGAATTCAACTTTTAAGGTTAAATTTGCTCTCCAAGAAAATCAAGTTATTGTTTTAAGAATCCAAACTCTGAAACTTCACTGTGTCTCTGTTTAAGGCTGAGTTGATAATACTTTTGGCTTGCTCTCAGATCCAAGGTTGTAAGTAGGTGCAGACTGCCTGTCTGTTCTGAAGAGGTTTGAAACCAACTGTCCCTCATAAGTAAGCCTGTAACATTGTACATATTATTCTTTTTAAGAAAATAAAAGCTTTTTGCTTGCAGGAACAGAAACTGGCCAACCAACACCTTGTGCTAAGGAAAAGCATTATAGCTTCATACATTAAGTCTGATCTGTGGTACAAGAGGGAAACTGAGGCATGCCACTGTTGGGGAAGGCTAGCAACTCTAAGGTAATTCATGGGAGTGGAAGGTCACGAGTACCGATAAAGCGCCCTTGTTCTAGGAAAGTTGTAGCTCACTCGCCCATAGAAGTGCTAAGAAACTAGCTGTAACAGGTTCCCCTAACAAATCTTAGGCAGTATTTTAAGTTATAATAGGCCACCCCAATGGGGATAGAGATGTTTTCTTGTCTTTCAGATCATCAGAAAGCGCTGGTGCCAGCTGAAGAAACAACAACAACCACCACCACCACCCATGGTTCTGTGTCATGACACAATAAGTTTGTGTTCTGTCCAAGTTTGTCTTGTGTGTCTTAATTGTAATAAGAATTGCAAATATTGTTGTGTGTAAGATATTGTTTTAATGAAAGGATACTTTGAGTAAAGCAGAAGCATTCATTTAAACCAACAAAAATAATAATTGGGCCCAATCAATTGGCAATTGTAAACTTAGTCAATTGGCAACTTTAAATTCTGTGAAAGGATAATAGTTTGGTAATTGTTTAGACTAGGAGAATGTTAACAATGTCTCCACAGGTAAATAAAGAAGAAACTAGAAAGAAGCAAGGAGTTCATCACGTTGAACAGAAAGACTGGGAGTGAGGTACCAGCCCTCTCCCCCACCGTTATTGGTTTTGCTTTAATAGCTCTAGAGCACCAGAGATAATAAGAAATCTATAAGAAACATGGGCAAGTGGGACATCAGCATATTTAAGTAAAGATACCCACAATAATGAGGAAACTAGTAACCTCACCATTGCAATAACAGCTACTTGCTCTGCTACTCACTGGTGCCTGATGCCTTAAAAGGCCTCAAGAATTATGGAATTGCATGGGTTAACAATTAAACATCTGTGAACCATGCTTGATCCTATAAGAAAAACAGTGACTCTAGTCAACGTAACCTCCTTCAAGTCACATACATAGAAATGAGAATACACGGCCTTGGGCCGCCCCTCATTCACACAGAATCATTTTGTTTATTGTAACAACATGAACACTACAAGGACAAAGAATACACAGTCCTCTGAGTTAAAGTTTGTATGGAATATTGTGGGAAAGAAGCTAAACACTAACATCAGGCCACTGAAGTTAGACCTACTGACTCCCACTGGGGCTTACCACTTAAAGCCCAAACAAAGGTAACCCCTGAGGCATGGCTGTCATTTGTTAAACAATGGCCATTGCTAACTTGCCGTATTATTAACCAGGTCCTTGAGGACAAAATAGAGCCTCCCAATTGTGCATCATGCCCTGAACAGACCCCTGTCCCAGAACCAGGACAATTGTCACTGGTCCTTACCTTGGTGATGTTCCACACTGGTATAGACCAGGTGTGTGCTAGACTGGTTAATCACATTAGCAATTTCCTAATTGGGCAACGACAGGGCTTAGCAGATACCATCACAGATTGGTTTGAGCCTGGAAACTCTGTCAGCAACACTTATGTCATAGCCTAGAAATTGTATAGAATCCAGGCTGGTAGATGCAGTAATATCCATTGCCTGTAAAGGCCTAGACACCAGCCAAGCTAACCGACTGATCCTGGATTGTTTGAAAGATCTGTCCAGCTCTGTGTCCACTTCACTAGATCTAACCAGATATTTGGACCAGAGACTAATTAGATTGTTAATTAATAGAACTAAATTAAAGAATTAGGAGGCCAGTATTAAAGCATAAGATAGCTTTAACCACCCAGCCTTTATGGTGGTAAGTCCCCATCTCCCCCGTGCCTACCCATGGGAGTGGGGAAGTAAAGAATCCATGAGGACCCAAAGGATCAAGAGATGGCAAATAGGAAAACAGATTAAATACTGTGGTGCAAAGATTAAACAATCGGCAGACTCCTACGGGCAGTCCAATCAGTAAGAGATTCCTTCCCTACAGAGAGAACCTTTCCTAGCCCCACTGTACCACTCAAAGATTTTAAATATGCACCTGAAGACACTGTGGTAATCAAACACCCCAGTTTAGAATGCAAATCCACATACTGAACTCCTACAAGGGAAAAGGAGTCTGGAACAATGCACACGCTGGGCTAACACCAATAACCATTACTGAGGCTTGGATTGTATCCAAGACCAGCGAACTTTTTGTTTTATTACAGGATACTGAGGCAATGGCCCTGAACAGTGCTCCAGTGAGATGTATCCCTCCCAGCGCTAGTGTAGATCCAAGAAACCATGATGAACTTTTTGTATATATACCACTTGCTGTTGCAGCGCTTGTAATCGCTGTTGTTATAGACTGAACTATAGAAAAGAAAACCTAAGCTGAAGCAAGACATGGTACTCCAACTCACCAAGGTCTTCTTCCTCATCCCAACTGCTACTGCTGTACCAGAACACCTTACTTGACTCCTCTACTAGACTGGAAATCAAGTTTGTCCCTGTAGGGTAAACTGAGGCAGCCCTAAATGTGCTAGTAGGCCTCTAAACAGCATAACTCCATTCTAGGATTAAGGCCTGGGAACACCACAGTCAGGATAAGAACTGCAGACAGTAAAAGACCCTGGGCACCATAGCAACCACGTTCTAAAACACTCGAACTGGGTCTCAGTTGGTAACGTAACACATTTTGCTTGAGATAACATTCATAAAATTTGCTTAAACTGTCTTGCTTCACTCCTAGATAATAAGCCTGAGAACCAAGTGCTGCACCACATCAAGGCCATACCCGCCTCCTATAGCAACATCATCATCTATGGAGACTAAAATGTTATTACTGTTTTGCTGACATGTTTTGGCATTTGAACAATAACCACCTGTATATTAATTAACGAGCTGTTACTTTGCAATGGGTGGAGATATTATGTAATCTTGAGTAGTTCTATTGGCTTATGTGCTCATTTCGTCTTGCTGCTAGACCTATCAAATCATTTTTCCTCCGTCCACCTGCTGACTATATAATCTATTGTATTGTGTTAATTAACCAGTGTTCACCAGGGTAACCCCTGCGTGTCACTCCATCAGCTGATGTATAATAAATCCTCTGCTTGTTTTCACCTGCATCCAGAGTGTCCTGGCTTATTTCCAACATAAATAAACACACCGGCGCGGCCAGTTAGCAACTTTCTCAAAGTGGTTTCACGGATCACTTTGAGAAACACTGATCTAAGGGATTGATCAAATTCCCCCCAGGGATTTCCCTCTTGTTGCTCCTGTAATTCTACTCTAATTTTCCATATCTGATTCTCCCCAAAGAACTAGTCCTCTATTAAAGATACCTTTTGAACCTAGTTGCCTTTTGTCACCTGCCCCTACTCAACTTAGTTTAAAGCCCTTCTAATAAGATTGGTGAGTCACTGCATTAAGATGTCCTTCCCTTTTGTGGTCAGATCGACCCCATCTCTTCCCAGCAAACCTCCTTCCTGCAACAGTACGCCATGACTAAGGAAGTCAAAACCTCCCATCCATCCATCTTCATCACACTATTATGTGGACATGCTTACCATTTAGTGTAAAAAGCAGAAAAAACACTCAGTGCAGGAAACAAGGGGACTGAAACTGAAGCTGTCAAGTTCACATGCTTCCATTTTCACTAACTGATACATCTGGATCTCTCAAGCTAGTGGGGATGTCCAAGGCAGAAAAATATTTCTGTAGATCAGCATGTGATTATTTGTATTGCGGTACTGCCTCATAGTCCCAGTCATAGGCCAGAATCTCATTGCCTTACGACCTGTACAAACTCAGAATAAGATGGTCCTTAACTGTCATTAAGTAATATTTATTCACAGCACAACAGAGAAGATAATTAAGCAAGAAGATAAGCCTACTTTGACCAGGTACCAACATGAAACTAGTGTAATAATACTACATATTTAGGAAACTTTCTCCCTGATTCAGGGTCTGTTGTGGCTAAGCCCCAGTTCCATACCATTGTGCAAACTGGGGTCTTATACAACTGCGCTAGATAGAAAGTGTACAGTGGGGAGCTGCAGTCTCCCCCTTCTTTTCTAAATGGTGCCGGGTGGGTGGCTCTGGTCAGGGGCAGTCCCAGATGGGAGTGGTGGGTAAGGATGTTACATATCGACTAACTGACTAATCAAATAGTTGATTCAGTTTGCACTGACTTTGAGTAGTCGATAAGGCGCCTCAGCCTTTGAAGTGTACGAACAGCCCTAGGGCTGATGCTTCACTTCAAAGGCGAAAGCGCTATGTGGAGCCGAGGATCAGCTGCAGACTCCAGTTGATCCTGGACACCCAGTGGTGCTGCTGCTTTGAAATGCTGCATGCAGCCTGACACTGGGCTTCCCGCAGCATTTCAAAGCGGCAGCACCCACACGGAGCCAGCTGATCCTGGACTCCATGTGGCGCTGCTGCTTTGAAATGCTGTGGGGAACCTGACACCTGTGGCATTTCAAAGCTGCAGCCCCAGGATCAGCTTCCCCAGGTTCCCCACCACAGGGAGCCCGGCCTATGCTGACACCCCAGGCTGCATGTGGCATTTCAAGGTGGAAGCGCCGCATGGAGCCTGCGGTCTGGCCCCAGGCTTCAAGCGGCACTGCTGCTTTTAAGTCCATCCCTCCTGAATTTGGTTTTACCAATAAAGAGGACAGGAACAGGTGATCTCACTGTAAACATAAGGATCGGTTGTTGCTGCCCCTAGTTGGGTCTTTGCACATTTCCTCTTTGTATACTGCACTCACTATTGTAATGGCTGCCCAGGAAATAATCAAAAAGCACCTTACTACCTATTGAAATAATCATAAAGTTGGAAGAAACCTAAGAAGGCTGTCAAGTCCAGAATCCTGACCAAAGCAGGACCAGCCCCAAATAAATCATCCCAGCCAAGGCTTGCTCAAACTGAGACTTAAAAACCTCTAGGGATGGAGATTCCACTACCTCCCTGGGGAAATAGTTTTTCCTAATATCCAATCTAGACCTTCCCCACTGCAACTTGAGAACACTGCTCCTTGTTCTGCCTTCAGTCACTACTAGAACAGCCCCCCTTCAGGATATTAAAGCCTGCTATTAAATCCCCCCTCACTCCTCTCTTCAATAAACTAAATAAGCCCAAATCCCTCAGCCTCTCCTTGTAAGTCGTGCTCCAGCCCCCTAATCATTTTTGTTGCCCTCCGCTGGACTTTCTCCAATGCGTCCACGTCCTTTCTGTAATGGGGGGCCCAGAATTGGACGCAATACTCCAGGGCTACGTCTACATTGGCATCCCTTTCTGGAAAAGGGATGCTAATGAGACGAGTCGCAATTGCAAATCCGCGAGGGATTTAAATATCCCCCGTGGCATTTGCATTTACATGGCTGCTACTTTTTTCCGGCTTGGGGATAAGCCGGAGAAAAGCGCCAGTCTAGACGCGATTCTCTGGAAAATAAGCCCTTTTCCGGAGGATTTCTTATTCTTACTTGAAAGTAGCCCAGATGTGGCCTCACCAGTGCTGAATAAAAGGGAATAATCATTTCTCTATAGCTACAGGCAATGCTCCTCCTAATGCACCCTACTATGCCATTAACTTTCTTGGCTACAAAGGCGCCCTGTTGACTCATATCCAGCTTCTCATGCATGGTAATCCCCAGGTCCTTTTCTGCTGAACTTTTCTGTCAAAATGCTTTCTAGTCAGCCCCCAGCCTGCAGCAGTGCTTGGGATTCTTCTGTCCCAAGTGCAGAGTTCTGCACTTCTCCTTGTTGATCCTCAGATTTCTTTTGGCCCCATCCTCCAATTTGACTAGGTCACTCTGTGCCCTATACTGCCCTCAACTTACCTACCTCTCCCCCTATTTTTAGTATTATCTGCTAACTTGCTGATGGTATAATAAAGATGTTGAACAAAACCAGCTCCAGAACTGACCGCTTGAGACTAAACCTCCAACCAGACATTGAGCTGTTGATCACTACCTGTTGAGCCCTATAATCTAGCCAGATTTCTACCCCTATTACAGTCCGTTCATCCAAGCCATACTCCCTTAACTTGCTGGCAAGAATTATGTGGGAGACCATATCAAAAGCTTTTCTAAAGTCAAAGTATATCACATCCACTGACTTCCCCGTGACTAGGAATAATCAACATGAATTCACCAAGGGCAAGTCCTGCCTGACCAACCTGATTTCCTTCTATGTCAAGATAACTGGCTCTATCGACATGGGGCTCTTCCAACTGCTTCAAAATGGATTCCTTGAGGATCCCCTCCATGATTTTTCTGGGGACTGAGGTGAGACTAGACAATCTGTAATTCCCTGGATTGTCTTCCTTCCCTTTTTTTAAAGATGGGCACTACATTTGCCTTTTTCCAATAGTCCAGGACCTTCCCCGATCACCATGAGGTTTTCAAAGATAATGGCCAATGGCCCTACAATTACATCAGCCAACTCCCTCAGCACACTCAGATGCATTAAATCCAGTCCCATGGATTTGTGTATGTCTAGCTTTTCTAAATAGTTCTTAACCTGTTCTTTCTTCACCATGGGCTGCCCACCTTCTTCCCATACTGAGTTGCCTAATGCAGTAGTCTAGGAGCTGACCTCATCCATGAAAACCAGGCAAAAAAAGCATTGAATTCTTCAACTTTCCCCACATCATCAGTCACTAGGGGTATGTCTACACTACAGAGTTAGTTCGAACTAACGGACGTTAGTTCGCACTAACTTTAATAGGCGCTACACTAGCGCTCCGCTAGTTCGAATTTAATTCTTGTGTATAAACCTTCTTGAACAGTTTATACCAGGGGTCTCCAACCTATGGCTCACAAGCCAAATGTGGCTCACTAGGGAACCAGAAATGGCTCTTCTGGAGCCCCAACTCAGCCCCCCCTTAGCTTCCCCTGGCAGCAGGGAGCCAGAACTGGAACTATAGCCTTACCGTTCCTGCAAGATTGGAATGCCAACACTGGCTTCCTGCAGGGGTGGAGGGGGAAAGAGCCCCGAGCCTCCCCCCCGGATTCGGTGTGTGGGGAACAAGCAGAGTGAAAAATGGCTCCTTGCATGCCCCTTTTTCTTCCCACAGTGTGTGGGGAACAAGCAGAACTAAAAATGGCTCCGTGCGCACTGCCATTTTCCTTCCCCGGGACACCCTTCCTGGAGGCTTCCCTTGCAAATCCTTCATGAAGGCTTAATGGGAACAGTGCAAGGCCATGTTACACAGTGCCTGCAACGTGGTGTGAAAGCAAATAAGTGCCCCCTTATGCCCAAATCCCACACCTCACCTCCTCACTCATCTTGCACCCAGCCTGCTCCTGGCCCCTGCCCCCAGCCAGACAGCCTGCCTCCACCTCCCCCCTGGCCAGACAGCCTTCCCCCAGGCCGCTCATGCCCCTTCCCTCTGGCCAGATACTGTCCTCCCAGCCTTCTCCTGCACCCTACATCCTGCCCAGACGCTGTATGCTCATCTCTATCCCATTCACTGGCAGTCCTGTCTCACATATGGATGCTAAGGACTAGTCAAATATCCGATAGGCAAATCTTATTGGACAGTTGACCAGTTGCTTCCCCCCTTCTTGCTGCTTCTAACAGACAGAGGCAGCAAGGGGGGGACCCAGGCTCCACATTGCACTGCCTCTTTGAAATGCTGCTGTGTTTCAAAATGCATTGACTATTTGATTAGTAAATTACACGATACTTAACATCCTTAGTCCGGCACACTTAATCCCTCATTTTTGGCCCCACCCCAGAGCCTAGGGTTGCCCAGAAAATCCACTAACCCTGGAACCTCAGAAGCGTAAATCTGGTTTCAGGCCTTGAACCTCAGTCCTCCCTGCTTCTTCCCCCCACCATTTGGCTGGGGCATCAGGGGCGTGAGGTGTTTCAGTTGGGGACTACATCAGTGAGGGTTGAGGGTTGTTTTTTGTTTTTTTGCCTCTCACTTGTGTGATCCCTGACTGATTTTTCTATGGGTCAGTGGCCCCCAACCACAAAAATGTTCCTCACTTCTGTCATAAATAAAGACAATGTTGAAACCTTTTGTGATGGACATAATTTACTTTATTTAAAAATGAAACCTGGCCAACAAGCTCCCAGTTGGGGCCCAGCCCCCATCTGGCCTCAGCGTCATAGCACTCCTGCACAAACGCCAATCCTGACCCCATCATACACCTGAATCCCCTGCCCTGAGCCCCTCCACCCCCCGCATGCCCAAACTCCTGCACCCCCACATCCTCCGTCCACTGTCATAACACTCCTGCACCTCCCACACCCCAATCTTGTGCCTTGAGTCCATCATACACCCAAATCCCCTGCCCTGAGCCCCACATACACCCCAACCCAGACTCCTGCACCCCCACATCTCCAGCCCCCACCATAAGAGTGACACAAGACAGCCTGAATGAAGTTGGATTTGGCCAGTTATGATGTAAACTTCAAAGAAATGTGCGAAAAGATGCAGCAGCAGAAGTCCCATTAAATAAAGTCTGTGAGTACAATGTTTCATTTATGTTAATATTAATCATTATGTCAATTATCAATAATATTAAGTTGTATATTATCAGTCATGCAAATGACTGTGGAGGCCCAATGCTCCATTAGGAGCCTAAAGGACAAATAAATACGGCTCTTTGTTGACCACTTGTTCTGAATTTTGATGTAGTTTGGCTCTTAGGTTTGAAAAGGTTGCCGACCTCTGGTTTATACTCCTCTATGGCAGTGCTCCAATCATGTGAGACGTCACTCCAGTCTCTGGCTTCTAAGTGTTCGTGTACAGACACCTTAGATCAGGGGTTCCCAACCTTGTTGATACCTGGGACCAGCAAACCCATTCACAAACTTTTGGTGGACCAGCAACATTTTTATTTGCATATTTACATATTCATGAAAATGATGAATATGCAAATAAAATGTTGCCGGTCTGCCAAAAGCTCAAGCCCCAGTGCCAGCCCTAACCCTTAGAGCCCTCTACCCCTTCACTACCCCCCAGTGCCAGCCACTGACCCCAGAGTCCCCTGCATCCAACCCGCAAGAGACTCCCCCAGAGCCAGCCTCCAATATTACCCATAGCCCCCTACTACTAGCTCAGCCTCCAGTACTAGCCCTGCCCCTGGAGCAGGGCTGGACAAAATATGGCCCAGGGGCAGGATTTGACCCGCCAAGCCACAAGATCTGGCCCGTGGACCACCCTGTCGGGACCCTCAGGCACACGCAGCTGCTGTGTTTACCCTATGCGCCCTTCTGCACTCAACCTCCACCCTAGACCCTCCCCTCCCCTCCACAGAAAAGTGCAGCCCTTGACAACTTACCAAAATCTTGCAGTGGCCCCCCACCAAAAATTATTGCCCACCCCTGCCATGGAGCCCCAGGTGCTTGCCCCATCCCTCTTGCCTAGCCCTGCCCTGCTGCCTGCATCGCAGCAGGGCTGAGGCTGGGGTACAATGTCCGTGCCTCCCCTCCTGCCGCAGCTGTTGGAAGAAGCATATCCTCCCCCTTCTCTCAGCCAAACAGTGCCGGGCAGGGTGGAGTCTCCTTCCCGCTGCTGAAGAGCGATTCTCTGCGCGGCAGGCCTTGCCCCTGCCCGCGCTAGTTGGCTGAGTGAAGGGGCAGGACATGCTTCTCCCAACAGCCGGAGCGGGAGCGGTGCACCCCAGCCCCCAGAGCCACCACAGCCCGGCAGCCAGAGACCTGCGGCCCAGCGGTTGGGAACTTAGATAACTAGCTGATTGCTCTGTCTTGTCTTCTTAGTATGAATCAGGGGTCCTCGCACCTTCTCCTTGTGTTCCTTCCCAGTATCCCACTTCCCCACTTACCTCAGGGCTTAGGTCACCGTCCCCCCAACGAACCTAGTTTAAAGCCTTCCTCGGTAGTAATGAGTACTAGCTGTGGGATTTGTATTTGTTTTTATTGTGTCCTACGTGCCACTTTATTTGAACTTTCTTTCAATTTATGTGATCGTTCAATTAAAATTTTAACTAATAACTGAATTTTTTTAAACAAAGCCATCTGAGTGCAATGAACCTAATGCTCTTACAAGAACCCTAGTGAGAATAACAGGGCTCTGCTAAAATCTGACCAAACACGTTATAAAAGGACATTAGTTATGTCATTAATCATGGCAAAGAAAAAAGCAGAGAATGTACAGGTATCAAGGTAGCTTGGTTTTATTTAATTCAGTTTTTACAGAAGAAGACTGAAGGGCTTAATACTAGGAATTACACAGAAGAGATGGTATTAAGGCAGAATCTTAGTGCACCAAGGCAAAGCCGAAAGAGGAAACATGTTCACAAAGAGGTCATATCATTGAGAGCATGGTCAAGCTCCTCGCTGATAGCTTTGTATTTCAGCTTCTGAGCATACAGCTCATCTACAGGTTGAAGGGCCCAAGGCAAGGAGTTCAGCAAGAAATGCAGGAAAACAGTCCGCAGAGTAGAGAATACGGAGAACAGACGGAATGCAGCAAATGAGGATGCACAGTGGAAAATAAAGATGAGAAGAAAACATGTAAAGAAGAGAACATTAAAATATAAGGCAGAAGCAATACACATGAACTAACTGCCCAAATGTCAGGCGTTTCAGTTTAATAACATTTTTTCAGCCATGTTTTAGAAAAGATTGAGAAGCCAGCGCTTCCTAGTGGTCACAAATGAGTCAGGATATAATTGATTCTTGTAAATTGAGTACAGTGGCCCCTTGATTAGATGCAATTGGTATATAAAGATGCAAATAGTTGGCTAAAAGTAGCTTTTAGTTTTAATCATTCCTTTTTTGGAAGAGAAGGGGCGAGTAACTTTGATAACTAAATGTCATGCCATCACCCCCTGTTTTCTAGACAGCTTTAACTATTTTTTGGTGCTTCTTATATGCTTCTACCCTGCTTGACAGACGCTTTAATTTTTGTCCATTCCCCGATGTGACGTTTATTAAGAGTATCAGAGCTTATGAGCAAAAGTGAAGAGATCAGGAAATATGAGCAGTCTTCCTTTCAACTAGGGTTATCTATTAAAAGTTCCTCACCCTTAATTTCAGGTGACTTTTCAATGTAAATATAAAATTAAACTGAGACTTTGTTTTCTCATTCTATTCTGCTATGAAATTGTCCTTGTCATCGACATAGAATTACCAAACAAGGATTTTATTTCTTCACTGTTTTATAATTCGATTAGGGTTGCCAGCTCTTAGGACCGGACAGACCAGACACCATTTGCGGCAGTGGTGTCCAGTCCGGGAGAGTTGGCATCCCTAAATTAGATAAATATAGAGCCTGACAGAATAATGGCAGGAAAATGTGTTGTTCGAATCAACTGATAGAAATAAGCAACCCTGTCCTTTTTGGGTTGGAATACATTTTCAACCATGCCGAAATCTAGTTTGGTTTTGGACCCACGCATATGTCTGCAGACCAGTATGTGGCCCTCACATCTCCACTATTTTCCTCAGAGAACTAAGTTTTGAAGAATGTATTCAAGCAATTTACAGTAACCAAACACATTAAGGAACAATACGTCTGCACATATGAATCTCACGTGCCTTGCTTTCAGTTTATAGTAGAACTCATCTGAGATAACTGATTTAGCCTAATAATAGTGAGTGCCACTGATTGGCTTAATCAGGACAAAATGCTTTTAAGTTCCGCAGGGGACACATTTGCCCTATGACAAGGGTTTTATGGAATAGAATTCTGTAGGAGTGTGTGTGTATGTGGGGGGGGGTTAATGTTCAGTTTAACATTCTGTCCCATTAAGAGTTCAGACATATTTTTAAATATTCATTTCTTAATCAGGGCTATAGGCCATCCACAAATGCAGATGATTCTATAGTAATAACAAATACATGCAAAAATAAACATATTCAATTAATTACAGGCAGTCCCCGGGTTACATGGATCCGACTTACATCGGATCCCTACTTACAAACGGGGTGAGGCAACCCCGCACTAGCTGCTTCCCCCCAGCAGACCAGGGAGACGCGAAGCTAGTGTCCCCCCCGCCCAGCAGACCAGGGAGAGGTGGAGCGGCTTTTCTCAGCAGACACTTCAGCTTGAGAATAAAGGGCTGAGGGAAGTGAGGTGTGGGAGAATAAAACTGAGCTCTGGAGAAATGTTTGGCTAGAGTTTCCCCTACAATATGTACCAGTTCCGACTTACATACAAATTCAACTTAAGAACAAACCTACAGTCCCTATCTTGTACGTAACCCGGGGACTGCCTGTATAGCACAACTCTATTTAATGGTCTAACTACAGGTAATTATAGTAGTATAAAGATTTTCCAGATAATCTACAAAGTACATAGATTAGTACAATGAATTGTTTCTCAGTTTGAAACTAATAGAACTTATGAAAACAGTAACAATTTTAAAAGTCATTTCATACCTTCCAGATCATCAATACTCTTTTCCAGTTTAGCAACTGTTCTTTCTGCAAACTCAGCACGTGTTTCAGCCTGGTAAAAGATATACAGAAAAAAAGTCTTGGATACTGGACAAGAAACAATCTCCGATGAAATGCAAATGTATTGAGATAGATTGTCTCACCTCCTTCAGTTTGTCAGTGAGAACCTTGATTTCTTCTTCATATTTATCCTCTTTTTCAGAGTACTGTGAAAACAGAGCGAACAATCTGTTATGGGAACTGGCAGGACAATTAATGCCGCAGACAATCTTGTTAAGCTACTGTTAGCAGGTAGTAGCCTCCTGTCTTAAAATGCCTTTTCTTAACTATTATCATCCTGTTTCTAAGTTGCAACCATGTAACTGTCTTTCTGTAGATTTCTTGTTATCCCATTGTTTAAATAAAATTCAGAATGGTTTGTCTTTTGCTTGGAGACTATGCTCTCTATCCTGGACGGTGGTGGTGGTGTGTTAAAGATGGATGGATGGATGGATGGATGGATGGATGGATGGATGGATGGTCCTTCTGCACAAGGGTAATTCCATTCCCTGGGAACAAGCTATTCTTCACCAAACGACTTATTTTCAAATCCCTCCTCAAAAGTCAATTATTTGGACTACAGTTCTACCTTTAGTCTCAGTATCTGCACCCATTCTGGTACTCAGATACTTGAATTAAATTATCATAAAAACCAAGAAGTGGATGTAAGGTTGGTTCCCATCCCCCAATTTTGTAGTTCTTGTAAAACACCCCACCAGCTGTCTGCTTTGTACTTTTCCTCTACACTTTATCCAGCATGTCTCATCATTTGTAAAGTTCTGTCTGAGTTCCTCAGGATGGGGATCATGTGAATTTCAGTATACCTGTCCAGTAATACAATACAACTTCTAAAGGATACAGTAATTAATAAGATTACTGCCCTGTTAGTCTTGTGTGCTAGAAAACTTTTAAGTGATGCCAGCAAACAGATTCAAAAGCAAAAAGTTTGGGTAATGTGTAGTTAAATGCCCTGTACAATCTGTGCATTCCCCAGAACTCAGTATTGAAAAAAACATAAATGCGAAGTTCACTCCAAAAGCCCCTAAAGGGTATTAACTATTAATAAATAAATATACCCTCTCATATCCCCACACTAAAAAACAACCCCGCACCTCCTGAAAAAATAAACCTCTCCCAACTACAAACAGTAGAAAAATGGGCAATGCACAGGTAAGCTCACCCTTTCCATTCAAATCCTTGTTTCTTTCCCTCTTCAGTTGCTTGACCCCTGCTCCCCCAGCTAGAAAACTTAGATTTAACAATCAGTTAACATAGCCTCACAATGCTGCGTAAATAGGTGTGTCTTGTAACGTAACTTGAGTCTAATTAGGGATGTAAGAGACTAGTCGCTTCCCCCACACCTTGCTGCCTGCTCTTAAAAGCCCCTAATGGGGCTCTTGTACATCTTAAAAGGAAGTTCCATGCTCCCTGCAAGGCTTCCGCTTTTGAACTGTAGCAAGAGCCTGGTAGGGTTCTTCCTACAGTTCAAAGGCAGAGGCACCCTTATACAATAATTGAATAGTCAATGGAAAACCCATCGACTATTCGATTAATTAATTAGTCTACATTTAACATCCCTGGGTCTAATATGTTGCATAGCACAAGGGATCCATGTGCTAATTCCACACAATTGGATTCCCCGTTAGATTGTCACAAGCCCTACCACAAACCAATGGACTTGCTTTTTGCTATCTGATTCATGATACACATGAATTCTTCCAATGATTCATTAGTTAATCAATATAAAAAGCATGACACATTTTCAAATTCCTCTTTTTTTGTGATTGCTGTAAACTTGTATCGCCAACCCTCCATTTTTCTTGCTGACCCTATGCATCCTTTGTTCTTAACCAGGAAGAACCAACCTTCTCAGACTGAGCCTCCAGGGACTTCAGGTTGTTAGTGACATTTTTTAGCTCCTCTTCAAGGTCACTGCATTTTCTGCACAAAGACAAAGGTGATCAGATCATTTCTTCTCCATGCATTATGTTTGGTTTCCAAATGGACTAATCAAGTAAAATATGAGCCAATTTGTCAGATACCCTCAGTGCACTAAGCTTGGCACTAATGGTTGCCCAAAATGCAGATTGTGTTTAATAGAGTTTGTAGCAAAATATAGCTTGTTAGGCATTCGTGACAGAACAAAAAAGTCTTTCTTGAATCTTAGCACTCCATACTCTCTTCTGTGAACAGGTGTCTTCTGTTAATTGTATCAGGAATTTAATTAGAACATAAAAATGACAATATTGGGTCAGACCAATGGTCCACCTAACCCAGGGCTGAGCAAAATACAGCTCAGGTGTTGGATCCAGCCCACCAAGCCACCAGATCTGGCCCATGGACCACGGTGCCAGAACCCTCAGGCAGGCAGCTACACGGTTTAAAGCGCAAGTCCCTGTAGCTCTCTGCTCTGCAGGGTGGGGAAAGCTTTGTGTGATCTCCCCTCCCCCAGCCCAATCCTCAGCTCCAATTGGCCTGAAACTACCGGCCTATAGGAACAGATCCCAGCCAATCTCCCAGCTCCTGATGGGTGGAAACAACCAGCCAATAGGAGCTGAGAGAGTGGCCTGTGGGATGGGAGCAGCACAAATCTCTTTCCTCTCCCAAAACTGAGAGCCAGTGGAGGGAGCAGCCTGCAGTTTCAAGTGGGGCTGCAGCAGGCAGGAGCCTAGCCTGCCTTGGGGTGCTGCAGGGCTGCTGGCTTAGATGAGCGCCTTCCAGCCAGAGCCTGCCCCTGGCACCCCAGCCCCTCCTGCACCCCAACTTTCTCCCCCAGGTCACCATCCGCACCCTCTGCACCCCCCTGCTCCAAGGCACAACTCCCTCGCAGACCCTGTACCCCCGCCTACACCCTCCCTCAGGCCAGAATCCTCTCCTGCATCCAAACTCCCTCCCAGACCCTGCACCCCCTCCTGAATGCCAGTCCCCTTCTGTACCCAACCTCCCTCCATGAACTGATCTAATTTTTTTTAGCTTAGTTATTCTTTTGGGCTTCAAAACAACCATGGCAACAAGGTCTACAGTTTGACTGCATTGTGTAAAGAAGTATTTCCTTATTCTTTAAACCTGTTGCCTGTTGATTTGACCCTGCTGGCTCTTACATTATAGCAAGGGGTAAATTATGTTTCCTTATTCACATTCTCCATACCATTCATGAGTATGCCAAGCTCTAGGCCTAATAGATTTCCCATTAGAGGTTTTTTTACATTTGTGATTTTCGTTTGAAATTCCTGAATGGCAGGGGCCTAAAGCTTTTAAAAAATATTCTGCAGGAAATTCCATCTCTGACTAGCTCTAAACACTGGCAGCCTTTATATTAATGAGATACAATACATGGATCCCACAGTGATGCTTCTGTGAAAACCTGGAGTGAAGGCTGTACATACTGTGCAGGCCAAGGTTAGGGGATGTGATCCTGTGGAGATCCCTTCCTCTCCCACCTAACAAGGGAACTGAGGGTATGTCTACACTACACTCCTAATTCGAACTAGGAGGGTAATGTATGCATACCGCACTTGCAAATGAAGCCCGGGATTTGAATTTCCCGGGCTTCATTTGCATGAAGCCGGCCGGCGCCATTTTTAAATGCCGGCAGTTCGAACCCCATGCCGCGCGGCTACATGCGGCACGGAGTAGCTAGTTCGGATTAAGCTTCCTAATCCGAACTAGCTGTACTCCTCGTGGAATCAGGAGTACAGCTAGTTCGGATTAGGAAGCCTAATCCGAACTAGCTACTCCGTGCCACGTGTAGCCGCGCGGCACGGGGTTCGAACTGCCGGCATTTAAAAATGGCGCCAGTCGGCTTCATGCAAATGAAGCCCGGGAAATTCAAATCCCGGGCTTCATTTGCAAGTGCGGTATGCCTACATTACCCTCCTAGTTCGAATTAGGAGGGTAGTGTAGACATACCCTGAGAGAACTGCCAGGTCTCTGGGTAAGCTATGGGAGGGCCCAGCTCTGTGCTTCTGCAAGAGGTGGGTTCTTGAGTGGAAGGGACAGGATGGGGAGTTGGCTTCCCCTTCCAGCCCTACAGTGCTGCCTGGTGCTTTGGTTTAAAGGGCCTGGAGTTCCAGCCGCTGCTGCAGTAGCAGGGGTCAGGAGTCTTGGGCCCTGTTGAATTGCTGGACCTAGGGCAATTGTCCACTGTACCCCCTCACCATCCGCAGACCAGTGGACCTAATAAAGTCTTTCCATCTCTAGTTTGATATTCCAAAATTATTTATGTACGAGCAGAACCATTCTGAACAGCCACTCACAGTTCTGACACCTCAGCGCGTTCCTCAGCTCGTTCTAGTTCACCCTCCAAAATGACCAGTTTACGAGCAACCTGCAGAGAGAGAGAAAGAGATGAATTATTTCCCCCATTTTCTCCCTGCAAAGAACCAAAGCCCTGAAGGTTTCTTGTTTCATGTTAAGTGTCAATCTGTTAGAAACTGCATCTTTGTGACCTTGCTGTGCCCACAAATATATTCCAAACTTGTAATACCATTGTATGGGAAGTGCACAAACAAATAGCATTAAACAGAGCATATGACTGTTTGGAGTTCTTCCAGACTCTTTCTTTATAAATGTTCCCACCAAAGCATATAGCACCTGCTGCTTCCTTACAGGACTCTTTTACCTCTTCATATTTGCGGTCAGCCTCCTCAGCAATGTGCTTAGCCTCCTTCAGCTGCATCTCCTGAATTTCCATTTTTTCTTCATCCTTCATTGCTCGGTTTTCAATAACCTTCATACCTCTAGATAAGGAAGCAAAATGGATTGTTTTAGAGAGAGCGGGGTAACTACAAGCCAGCCAAACCAGTTCACATTTTGCCTAATAGGCCCTGATGTGAACGTCTTAATATCTAACTACTGAACCCAAACCAACCGGTCATGTTTTTAATGGCTAACAAAGTTTCTGATAAAACTAGTTGGCATGAATCTCTACTTAACAGACTGTCTGAATTTAGTAGTGCTTGTAGCTATTGAATGACACAGGATTCTTCCTTAATTTATTGTGCTGCTTCCATTTAGAGAGAGCTCAAGAAACTTTAAGTAGATTGAATGATACAAGCAAATAAACAAACATATCTGAGAGATACCAATAGGAACTTTTCTTTTTAAAACCTTATTCAATTTTGTAGGAGGAAAAAGCTAGAAATAAAATAGGTAAATACTTTTTCTCTGTGGCTTTACAGAGGAAAAGTATTTATCCAAGATAGACTTTTCAGGCCAAATTTGTGTATAGGTGCTGAGAAACGTTTTTACAGCAGTTTGCGGGCCATTACTATCAAAGGCCAATGCTAAATCTGTTGGATCCAATGTTTCCCTTCACAGCAACTAATGAAGTTTCTAGACTCTCGCCTGCTGAGCTGGGAAGCCAGGAAGTGGGGATGCTGGAACAGGCCCACTGACAGGGAGAGGCAAAGGGGGCAGTTGCCTTGGGGGTCGGCAATTCAAAGGGGCCCAGGGCTTCCGGCTGCTACCATTGCTACTACGGTAGCAACCGGATCTTTGGCCCCCTTTTGAATTGGCACCAAACTGCTGCTCCGCATGGCTCTGAGGGCTGGAAAGGAGCACATGCTGTGGTCTGGGTGGCGGTGAGGGCTGGCTGCCCCAGCCCCACTCCTTCCGCCCGAGACCCCGTCCCTTCCAGGGCATGGAACCAGTCCCCCTCCCATGTCGTCCCCCAGGGCTTCGCAATAGCTGTTGGCTCCTGCTGTGCTGTAACTACAGGTGTTGAGGGGTACGGCACCACCCCCTAGTTTAAAGTGATTTCCATCATCTATAGCAGTGTTTCTCAACCTTTTTTTTTATAAAGTACCCCTTCTTTAAAAAAAAAATTATAAGTACCCCTAGTACTTAGTTTTCAGACACACACATTTTTTTTCTACTATTGCAGCATATTTGTTTAATCGTAGCCGGGTGGGCGATTAAATTTTTGGGTGTAAAAAGTACAAAAATAATGAAGTGCTGTAAAACTTAAAAAAAATTCAGTTTTCTCCAAATTTCACTTTTCTCCCCCCCCTTTCTCTTGAGTACCCCACCCCTAAGGGTTCTCGTACCACTGGTTGAGAAACACTCATCTATAGGGTTTACAGTTTTGTTTGGTGGCTTTCAGCACCCCACCATTATATTTGTTCCAGCATGACTGCCATCAAGACTCATATGCACATAGAATTCAGAGCTCAGCTGTGATTCTTGAAACTCCATTACTTTTCCAGATAGCAGATCCAGCAAGAGGCACCAAGAAGGGTTCTCGTACCACTGGTTGAGAAACACTCATCTATAGGGTTTACAGTTTTGTTTGGTGGCTTTCAGCACCCCACCATTATATTTGTTCCAGCATGACTGCCATCAAGACTCATATGCACATAGAATTCAGAGCTCAGCTGTGATTCTTGAAACTCCATTACTTTTCCAGATAGCAGATCCAGCAAGAGGCACCAAGTTGAAGAAAACCCTCCTTCAAAATAAGTGTTCTGTTCTCAAAATACCATACTCTCTGCCTGAGATGTTTGGGTAAAGGATATATATCTGATCAGTGTCCCTCTGCCATAAATTAACCAACTAGGCCCTTATACTTTGGCAATCTTTTCTATAGTCTATTGATGGGAGAGGCCTTTAGCACTTTAGCCATTTTCAAGGAAAAAAAAAAGCCAGATGGAAGCCTGCTGGGGACAGGTGACAATTAAAGGGGCCACAACCGCATTTCAGCCCTTTTCTTTTTCCTCAACCAATTTTCCCTGGTGGTCACCTGGGGCTGCCAATTGGTTAGGAGCAGCCCAGTGTGGCGTCACAACAGATTATAGGCCCTTCTTCACAGCCTAGATGTTGGAGTGTCCTACTAGGGTGGCCACTAGAAGGAGATATGTAACATTCTCTGCCAGTGGAATACACAGCTAATTTCTAGACAGCAATATAATCTTGAATTCTATTTCCCTAGGTGGGAAATTGTGGATAGGCAAAAGTATGTTACAAGTATCTGCACAAACAGCATAGTCAAACACTTAGATTTGGCATATTCATTATAAAATGCATTGTGGTTAAGAGCATGAATATTGGGTTCTATTACCAAAGCTGCCAATAGTTACTTGTACAATATCATAGCCTCTTCTGCAATTACCTCTTCTGCAAAATAGGGTGGTTAATATGTATCTGCTTCAAAAGCTAGGTGTTTGAGGAGTTGCCCAATAATAAAACGCTGTAAGTCAGGAGTGGGGAACCTTTTTTGGGTCGAGGGCCACTGACCCACAGAAAAATCAGTCAGGGACCACACACAAGTGAGAAGCAAAACAAAACAAAACAAAAAAGAAACCCTCACTAATGTGGTCTCCCACTGAGAAGAAACACTCCCCGTAGTCCTCTCGCACACTAGAGATTAGGGTGGCCCAGGCTAGATTTTGTGTGCTCCAGCACCGCAGGAGCAATTGGGTGATAGGGTGGGCTGGAGACCCAGCACAGACTCCCCAATGCTGTGGAGGGGCACTGAGCCTTGGGGGCTGGATCCAGGCAAGCCGGGGGCCACATCCGGCCCCTGGGCCTTAGTTCCCCACCCCCCGCTGTAAGTACACAGAAGCATTATTGATCAATGGAAGACATGAGACTAGAATGTGTGATCTCTTGCCACACAGTCCAATGCTCTTCAGCTTAGCTAAGTGGTGGGTCACCTCTGGCCTGTCAGGATTTTAGGAGTGGCCTGCGAGACATTTTGTTTACCACTGCTCATGTGCAGGGTTGCTGGATTCAGCTGATTGTCGTCCATGTAGGTTTTTTTTCCTACCAGTATTACTAAAGTAACATGCATGTAATCAAGGGTTCATTAAGTGAGGCGCATGCTGATTACTCACATTGACTATGAACTCTGCTCACTCTACAGTCCATCAAAGCACTGCTACAGTTCAATCTGCACACCCTGCAAATGCTAGGTATATATGCAAGTGAGCAAAACTACCTTATCCCGGCACACAGTCTTGGTTACAATCTTACAGCCCACTGAGATGGAGTGCTGCTCATGGGGCCCACTCACTAGCCTCCGTTACCCACCCCTGGCTTGGATCAATGAATATTCTGAGGGGGGAAGGCAGTTAGCACTCCAAACAGGAGCCAACTCAAATGCTGTATATATTGTATGCATATGATACAGAAAGCTCAGCAAGCTCTGGAAGCCCATGCCATGCAGTTGCAATGTTCAGAAAATGAAAAGCAAGCCTATCATAGGTTATACTGTGTATGTGTGAATTATTTTTCTGTACTTGTAACTGGCAAAAATATGAATATATTGTCATGTAGAAAACAAAATGCCTCTCCAATCTCAGGACTACTCTGCTACCGATTTTAAAGTTTCTATCCCAAACTTTGGAGACATGAGAGTGTTAAACCAATCAGAGATGCTATTTAATATCACTAGATTTCACTGTCCTCATTCTTGAATACACTTGGAGCAAAAATGATTCAACTTTCAATCTGAGGCAGTAACCAACCTGGAAGCTTTCAGTCTAAATCATCATCAGTTGTCCAAGTTTTAGGCATTTGAAAACAGTTCTAATAGAAAGTTTTATGCAATTTAGACATTGAATAAGTATATATTGAAGGTCAAGTAGTAACAATACTATAAAGGCTGAGGGCTCAGCTCTACTCCCCCTAAAATCTGTCATCTGTCTTCAATAGAAATTGGAGTGGCAAAGTTAAACACTTCTTTGGGGCTATCAATTGGGAATTCTTCTGTTTGAATTACTTGCATCAGGATTCTTAGCAGCATTAGCTTGAGAGTTCCTTTTGAGTTTGTGACGCATTCAATGGTACGTACTCTCTTGAATTGCACTCAGCAACCTCAGTTGTAAATTCATGAACTTTTATGTTTAATTATTATTATAATAGCCTAGGTGTGTGCATGCTGCTCAGGAGGTAAAGTTTTACCCAGTAGTGGTAACAAACTTTGTTAAAGCAAAATGGGACACCAATTACAATAGTGAGAAAAAAGTGGGGTTAGAGAGGAACAGGACAAGGGAGAATACAGCCCTGAGGAAGTCTAGCTTCCCCAAAGTGGATGATATATTGCAAGTCCTCTCACTTTTTGGATAAAACGGGGAAATGTCCAATGGGAACAACTTAGTAACCAGTTACAGGATCAATACCACTCTTCTGATTGTGTCCCTTATTTCTCATAGTACTATATGTGAGTGGGAGAAGGAACTAAAGTGCCCCAAGTCTCTAAAGCCTACAAAGACTTAAAATATCCCACTACTGGGATTTTCTGATGTAAGTCACTCATCTATATAGTTCTTTTCAGGTACATCTAGACTGCGTTGCTATTTCGGGATATCGGAAGTATCTCGAGATAGCAACGCCACGTCCAAGGAATGCGTCCACTATTTTGATTTTTTTCGAAATAACAGATGTGCTCTTTTGTCGTCCCTGTAAACCTTCTTCTATGAGGCATAAGGGATGGCTCAAAAGAGCACTGTATTTCGAAATTTGGTGCTGTGTAGACACGCCAAATTTCGAATTAGCGTCTTTTGAAATTAAATTGAAAAAAGATATGCAATTTGCATTTTTTCGATTTTTGAGTGCAGTCTAGATGTAGCCTTGGATGCATACCTCTCACTTTCATCTGCTGCCTTCTCTGCCTCTTCCAGTTTCTGCAGGGCTGTGGCCAGGCGTTCTTGGGCACGATCCAGCTCCTCTTCCACCAGCTGGATACGCCGATTCAAAGCTGCCACTTCACCTTCAGCCTATGCAAAACAGTCATACAGCACTGGTTAAATAAAACCCAACTCGCTAGACAGCAATAATGCAAAACAATCCCCTCTGATAACTTCATTTTCACTATTTATATGCATGGAACTCTAGGAAGAGATGCTTTTTAAGTTTTTTCCTACATACACCCACACCTCTTCTTCATCACTCTGAATTAACCATTACAAATCTGTTTAACAAGAAAAAAATGTTTCAACTAAGTGTACTGTGGGAGATGGGAAGTTCTATATGTAGAAATCTAGCTGGAACTTTTTTCTTAATCTTCTAACTCCCAGATAGCTCAGTCCAGAAATTCCACATTTGGTTTATTTTTGTGGCCTTCTCAAAGATCCTAATCCTAGCTTTGGACGGCTTGCTAATGAAATTCAGTTCAAGCGGCTTCTTCATACATTAGGGGCTCCACTGGCTGTACATCTCACAAAGCTCAGAAGTTGGGATAGGCCAGGGGATGGTCTGGGAGCCAGCCAGAGAATGTTATTCGTTTGTTTTAAGTGCATGCGGCACAGGAAGAAACTTTCAAAAAATAATTCTACTTCGTTTTCAACCATTTCTAAATAGCTTGGGGTGGGGGGGAGAAGGACAGGAGAGAGGGAAACAGTGTAGGGCCAGTGATGGAAACTGGGGGAGCTGGCCTGATGAACTCTTCCTGCTGTCAGGACCCCTGTCACTATGCAATTCTTGCATGTAAAAGAATACAGAATTCCCATCACTGTGAAAAAATGTAGTAGGCATCTTGCAGTACAGAGTCCTATTACTATCAAAGGCCGTGTCCAGACTCAGGGGTTTTTTCGGGAAAAGTAGCCTTTTCCCGAAAAAAATTCCCCTGCGTCCAGACTCAAGCCGCGTTCTTTCGAAATTATTTCGAAAGAACGCGGCTTTTCTTTCGATGGCGGTAAACCTCATTTCACGAGGAAGAACGCCTTCTTTCGAAAGTTCCTCTTTCGAACGCAGAAGGCGTTCTTCAATGTAAAGAGGCCGTCTTCGAAAGAGAGCATCCAGACTCGCTGGGTGCTTTCTTTCGAAAAAGCGGATTTCTCTTTCGAAAGATCCGCCTGCAGTCTAGACGCGATCTTTCGAAAGAGGCTCTTTCGAAAGAAGCCTGCAGTCTAGACATAGCCTAAGATAACCCATTCTGGCTTGAATATTCAAAGGGACAGATCACTAACTGATAGCCTCCCAGATGCCTCTTGTGACTAGCCAGAAACTTTCGGAAGGATTCTCCAATGGCATCAAGTTTCACTTGTGAGATTCAAGGCCTATCACTATGGTTTAGCTTTTATTAAGCTGGGATGTGGAAAGTCACATTTCCATTTTGTGTGGTCACTTAAATATTTTATCAACCCAAAACTGACATTCTGAAATTCCACTTTGCCCATGAAGGACAGTGCAAATGTGTTTTTTAAATGTGACATCAGTTTGACTTATTGCTCTTTAATCCATCCTCTGTTTTTTGTTTTCTGCATAAAGGCCTGAAAAATACCAGACAATATAGTGATCTTGGCAGAGGGGGGAGTTAACAAACTTTTCCTATAAAATGAGACCATATATTTTTGCCATAATCTAAAAGCATGTTTATCAAAAAGCACATACACTTCCTGCTACATTAATAGGTTTTTCTAAATCACGTAGCTGCTGTAATAATCTGGAAGGAAAATACTGTATGTAATGAAATATGTATATGTCTTGTTGGTCTAAAATGGTGGTCTCCAAACTTCTTACCTTGCACCCATCTTTACCCCCTCAGTGCCCCTTCCCATGGCTGGAAGCAGGGCCGTTGCTCTGGGAGAGGGGATACAGAGGGGGTAAGGTGGCCAAGGCTGGACTTGAGAGTGGAGCTGGCAGCTAGGACCTGGAGCAGAGCTGAGTGGTGCTCCTACCTTGTGGGGGCTGTTCCAGGCCCGAACTGCAAACCAACCCCCACCCCCCATTGTTCATGTCCCTCCTACAAGGGGACGTGCCAGCAGAGAGCAGCGGTTTTAGGATTCAAATCTCCAACTTCTTAGGATGGCAACTGCTCCCACACTGGAGGCATTTCATTAATGTAAATTGATTTCAGAGGAGATAAACTAAATATTACCAGGTTGGCTGGAGGAACAATTTTAGGTACTTAATATGGATATCTTGGGGGCAACAATAATTAAGGGAGTCTGAAGGTGCAAACAGGAGACAAGGGAGAGGGTTTACCTAGCAGACATGGTTTGAAAGTGATCAATACAAATTAAGATTAAAATACCAGGAAACACTTCCTAACAAGTAAGTCTCTTTAAAGACTCTTGAATAGTCTGAGAAGTAGTTAAAGTCCCAGTCACTTGGAACACTCACAACTAGGCTAAACAAGGCAGTAGAGTAAGGTATGCAGCAATCTTGGAATGCATGCTTCAAGACAAAATGATTATTTCTGAGTGAAGGGAACCATATTTTATTAAAACACAGACTGGAAAAAAGCAAATAATAACTATTGGCAGATGGATTTTTGTATGACAAGAACTAGAGTGCCTCCTATTTTCCTAACGCAGTTTGGTAACTAGATTTTTCTAATCACAAGTGATTTAGCATTTCATTGGTTCTTTTCTTGAGTACTATCTATTGAATGTGCAGACTGCATACAAAAGCCTCTGATCAAAAAGACCTGGTTAGCAATCCAGGGCTGGTAGCCTCCTTCAACGGATGCTTTCATTTTAAGATGCAATGTTAATGAAACAGGATTCCAATCTGTAACAAGAATCAGGTATATGGGGATACCTGAAGGTTGGAGACAGTTAATTTGACCCCACCATGTACCTTGTGCCAATAACAGGGCGGGGCAGCTAGTTGATGATACTATACAGGGGTGCATCTCTTGGGAATAATTAAGCAATTTTTGTAT